TTTTACTTGTTTTTTAAGTTTTAACTTTGAAAGAACAGTTTTTTGAGAATACGATCTTAATATGAAGGTTGTGTTTCTCCACTTGCGAAACAACCATTAATACCCAAACGCGATTAACCAGTTCAATCGGTGTGAGCCTATAATGCTCCATATTCATCTAATGTCCGTTCTTTATATTAATTGTAATGTTCCGATCACCACCATCTTAAAAATAAGAATTTTAAAATCCACGTACGCTTGCATCAATTTGTATTTTTTTCCAGATTGTATGAAAATACGCTCAACCAAAATAAGTTTTTTTTTTTTAACAATAACCAAAATTAGTTTCATTCGGTCGCCGTTCTTTATTAACGTAGCATGTGTTTTTTTATGCGAGCTCATCACATGTACTATCATTCTATTTATGAAACTTAAAAAAAGCACACACACATGACACATTACACCCGAGAGATAAAATCGTCCAGAAATTATTTCTTCTTTTGACAAGCTTCCCTCATTTTTTTTGTTTTCCTATCTTTTTTTTTTATCTTTTCGAAATTCTACAATCTAACATCAAATCAAAGCATTGAACCAGCAAAATCAGAGAAATCAAAGCATAAAATCTAGTCTATAACCTTAGACTTATGGAGCGATGCCTAGCTAGTCTTAGTATAGTCTTTAAAATTTTAGAAATCAGTAAATTAACATTCGCTAGCGAATGTTATAAAATTAAGAACTTGACGTAGTCATATTTTGTAATTATTGGGTGAAAACAATGGGAGCAACCAAAGGTTTTTGTAGTGTAATGCCCAGTGGGACAATAATACGAAAGAGTTTTGCATTATTATTTGACTTAAGAGGCACTACCAATTGTCTATTTTCTACAGTCACAAGAGATAAGTAAAGACATCCTTTTCTCTCATTTCGTTCATCTTTTAGGTCCACGTTGTTTTGTTATCATGATATTAGGTCATTTTTGGGTGTTAGTTTGTGTCTGTACCTATAGAAATGGAGAATCAAATTTTGCATAGAATCACAAATCTACGAAATGGTCCATACGCTCTCATAATAATCTTATATATTACATTGATGTTGCTGGTAAGTGGTATCGTATTCACTATTCAGTCTAGGATTTAAAGTATAATGTAAAAGATCAACATCTACTATTACTTTTTTCCATCTTTTAATCAAGTCGTTTCACATCATATGCATTTTCTCTCTCACTATGTGAGGGTTTTATGTTAGGGTTCGAACCCTCTTGGTGACATAGAGTATTACCTTGGGCCACTCAAATCTCGTAAACATCTACTTGTTAATGCTAAATTATAGTTTAGCTATGATTAAATTCAAACAGTGATTGTAAGGCAATTTTTACGCGCACAGTTCAAAACAACTAAACCACACACACTGACACGCACACACATATATATATATATATATTATATATAAACAGTTCATAACAAGTTAAACTTCTTCTTTTTTAGAAAATGTATACATATCTTCAGATCTAGAAAAAATTTAATTGGGGACATAATAAATTTATAAACAGGAAAAACAAAAATTAGTTGAGGACAAAATAATTTTTTTACTACTAAATTAAATTTATTTTCATTGAATTTGCTTAAATATTAAAAAAACGAATCAAAAAAGTAGGGGCACATCACCCCACTCTTTCTTTACTACATCCGCCCATGGAAATGTTAGCTCCTCAGTATATAGACAATTTAATATTTATATTCGCGAAATATAATCTAATTTATCTTCTAATTCAGTTGTGTGTTCGAAACCGATATTAGAGCTACCAACCCACCTTTCTTTTTGTTAAAGGGATTAGCTACGAAGTACGAACCCACTTTGTATGATATAATCATATAATCATGAAACTAAAAGTATCAAGATTTTGTCCTTCCGATATATTTACGGTGCATGAGTGCACGATATCCATTCTTTTGCTTGAGCATGAGATGAGATCCATTCATTACGTAACATTATCCATCTCTCTCTGTCTTACGTTTTTTATTCCTAGAAAATTAAATCCTAATAGTGAATGACTTCTTGGGTTTACACTAATTTTACGTACAACCTGCCAACTAAAACTAATGGTCGTCTGAGTACTAATTTTCCGTATAACCGGGTCCATAATTTATATATCGTTTTCTTTGTTTCCTCTCATCATAACAGCAGCACTAATTAAAAAAAATAAAACTAAAACTAATGGTCGTCTGAGTACTTGAGTACTATTCGTCTATTCGTAACGTCACATTGTTGGTCCATCACCAGCAGAAAAGACCAAGAAATTGGGACAAGAAGACGATAGTGGTTTTGATATTTTTTACACATCAGCAGAAAAGAGAATAAAATTGGGACACAAGAAAACGATTATCGTTTTGACATTTTCTATTTTTGACAGAAAAAAAGTTTTGACATTTTGAATAAGTCGGTCAATCACTAGCAGAAAAGAGCAAAAACATTGGATCAGGATATGGTCATTGGTATGATATTTTCTTACACTTCTAAAATATTGCCCTTTTATTTCGAAAATCTTAAAACAAAAAAAGAGTTACGATATGGAACTTAATTTTTAATTATAAAGTTAGTCCTTTTAGCAGTACATTTTTTTATTTTAAAATAAGATGGTTCAAAACCAAATTAGCAGTAAATAAAAGAGAAGACTATTTTCTTTAATTAGCAAAAAAAAAAGGGAAGACTATTTCCACATATAAAAGAAAAAGAAGACTATGTTTTTTGAGAAAGCAAAGAAGACTATTTTCATACGATAGTATACGAGGTTTTTAATTTGCAGAGGTCTTCTATCATATGTATATGCTTACGCGGCTGTGTTCTAAGACATTATTAATAGTTAAAAATAACAGATTTAGGCAATAAGACTGTAACAAAAAAAACTATGGCAATAAGCATCACCAAAAAAAAAAAATTAAAAATCAAAAATCAAATAGTATGGTGTGGCGTTGAGCCTATTTGGAAAAAAAAATCCCAAACGAATTACACATAAGTACATAACCATCATCTCATATGTATTACCAATATGTTTAAATGCTGATTTCAGCTTTAAAACATACATTTTTTTTCTTTCTTTTTGACGTCAGAAATGTATTTGAATTTAGATTTATCAGAATTAATGCAATTTTCGTTTATAATAGGTTGAGCATTTTTTTTTGGCTTCAAAGTTGAACTTCCAAAAATGGACATTATTTCAATTGATACTTTAGTAGTCTATCAGACAATAAATCTGATTGTGAAGGTTTGGCACTTACACCTTGCAAATATAATATTACACATTTTTTCATGTTACATATCATTTTAAAAATTTTCACTCAAATTAAAAAAAACATATTAATTATTTTTACTATACATATTTCTGCCAAAGCAAATTTTTTTTTGGAATGTTATTCTAGATTCTATCTCGTGCAGACGCACAAAAAAATTATTTTTTTAATTTTATTTTATAATGTAATTTGTGTTTTTTACAAATATGATTTTTTTTAATAATAATACAAATTTATTTTTGTGTTTAGATAAAATTTATTTTTAAATTTACAATAAAAACATATTTTAAATGCATCCATTCGATTAATCTGAAAAATTATAAATAAAAAATATAATTTTGTTATGTTCTATCATATTACCATATAATATAAAATTTTATTAATTTTAAATATTTAAATTTTTAAAAAGATTGATCATAAAAAACTATATAATAATATATCTTTTATCATCTTACAAATATGAAAATATTATTTAAATTTAAATATCTAAATAGAAAATAAATTAATATCTTATTTATTATTTTTATAAAAATAATAACAAATAATTTTTATAATTAATCTTACCTATATATCTAAAAAAATCTAAACTAATCAAATTTAAATTTGATTTTTTTCATTAATTTTAAAAATAAAATTCAAATTTATTATTTTATTAAAAATATATTAAAAACAAAAATAACAAAACAGTTATCCAAATACAGAATAGTAAAAAACTAAAAAAATCTGTTTGGACACAAAACATGCTTCTGTTTTAATAGAATAATAATTTAAACCAAAATTATATTCAAAATCCACAATGACATTGATTTAAATTTAAAACATATATAAAAAATGTTATAATGATAATTAATTCAAAAAGGAATAACCGAATACGTAAAAGTATTTTCTTGTTTTTATAAGTTACTTTTACTAATGTTGTTGTCTTATCTCCTAGTATTATTGATTTTAGAGACGTCTATTCTGTAAGGTCCCCCAAAACTTAAATTTATAATAGCAACTCTTTCAAGATGCCAAAAGCAACATACTGTAAATAATGTATCAAAACAAAAGCATCAAAACTCAAGCACCAAAACTCTATTATTTTTGTGACACGATTGTAGGTAAGAACAAAATATCTTTTATGCCTTGTCCTTTTTTCAACCTATCCTTTGATATATTGCTCTATATTTTGTCCGAATCTGTATTTTTTTTGTATGCTGTATGTAGCTAACTTTGAAATAAAATATGGAAGAATTGACATGTTTTAAAATATGCCACTTATCTCGTAAATATACTTTTCAGCACAAACAAAATAGATTCATATACATGACAAAAAAGGAAATACAGTGTCCTTGACAAAAGAACAAAAATAATGATAGTAGAGAGTTAATGCTCATACCTATTACCTAGTACAATTCTGGAGGATTTGGATTTAGGTTTGTCCCACTTTGGGTCGACTCAAACAAGCCGAAGCAATCTAGAGCCCATTAATATTGCACTTTACCGCCCAATATATAAGCCGTTTTTAGCCCAATAAATATAATTTTGATAAAGAAGCCCAATATATAATGTGAAACAGAGCCTCTGTTTTTCTGTTATATGTTTTTTTCTTTTTGTTTTGTTTAATTTGGTAAATAGCAATAAAAGAAGAAGATTGTAAATTGTTTAGAAAAATGGAATATTTATAAATTTATTGAGTGTAATTAAAAAATAAACTAACAAAACAAACTCTTATCACTGAAACTTCAAAGATGATAACATAGAAAGAAGAGAGCCAATAAAGGCTCTTCTTCTTCTTCTTCGTCATCTCCTTCATAATGGCCGGATCAGCTCTGCCACTTCCACCGCCACCGCCACTGTCGTTCCAATCTCCGCCGCAAAATCAAACCCGACATTCTTCTTCCTTCTCACCGCCAAACCTCACTCCCCAAACGCCTTCCATTCGTTCCCGCCTCAGCAGAATCTGCCAAGATGGTAACCCACAACTCGCACGCCAACTATTCGACGCAATTCCCAAACCAACCACTGTTCTATGGAACACCATCATCATCGGCTTTATCTGCAACAATCTGCCTCACGAGGCTCTCCTTTTCTACTCCCGGATGAAAAAGACGGCACCTTTCACCAAATGTGATCCTTACACTTACTCTTCTACACTCAAGGCGTGTGCTGAGACCAGAAACTTGAAAGCTGGTAAGGCCGTGCATTGCCATTTGATTCGTTGTTTACAGAACTCAAGCAGGGTTGTGCATAATTCTCTGATGAATATGTACGTTTCGTGCTTGAACGCTCCTGTGAGTGAATTGGATTCTTCTGATTACGATGTGGTGCGTAAAGTTTTCGATAATATGCGTAGGAAGAACGTTGTGGCGTGGAATACGCTGATTTCTTGGTATGTGAAAACAGAGAGAAACGCAGAAGCGTGTAGGCAGTTCGCGATTATGATGAGAATGGAGATTAAACCGAGCCCGGTTAGCTTTGTCAATGTTTTCCCCGCGGTGTCGACTTCGAGAAGCATTAAGAAAGCTAACGTTTTTTATGGTTTGATGCTTAAACTGGGTGATGAGTATGTGAAGGACTTGTTTGTGGTGAGTTCGGCTATTTCTATGTATGCCGAGCTTGGCGATCTTGAATCATCACGGAGAGTTTTTGAATCTTGCGTTGAGAGAAACATCGAGGTGTGGAATACAATGATTGGGGTCTGTGTTCAGAACGATTACCTTGTTGAAAGTATCGATCTTTTTCTTGAAGCAGTAGGATCAAAAGAGATTGTGTCTGACGAAGTAACGTTCCTCTTGGCAGCAAGTGCTGTTTCAGCTCTGCAGCAAGTGGAATTAGGCAGGCAGTTTCATGGTTTCGTCAGCAAGAAATTTCAAGAGCTACCGATTGTGATATTTAACTCGTTGATGGTGATGTACTCGAGGTGTGGCTCTGTGCACGAGTCATTTGGAGTCTTCGATTCAATGCGAGAGAGAGATGTTGTATCGTGGAATACTATGATCTCTGCATTTGTCCAAAATGGCTTAGATGATGAAGGATTGATGTTGGTGTACGAGATGCAAAGGCAAGGGTTTAAGCTTGATTCCATAACTGTGACTGCTTTGCTTTCGGCTGCGTCAAATCTTAGAAACCAAGAGATTGGGAAGCAGACTCATGGTTTCCTTCTCAGGCACGGGATTCAGTTTGAAGGAATGAACAGTTACCTTATCGACATGTATGCTAAGTCAGGTCTAATTAGGATCTCACAGAAGCTTTTTGAGAGAAGTGGTTATGCTGAAAGAGATCAAGCTACTTGGAATTCTATGATTTCCGGGTATGCTCAGAATGGACACACAGAGGAAACGTTTGTTGTGTTCAGGAAGATGTTAGAACAGAACATCCGACCCAATGCTGTTACTCTGGCATCGATTCTCCCTGTGTGTAGCCAAATAGGTAGTATCGACTTAGGTAAACAGCTCCATGGTTTCTCTATCAGGCAATACTTGGATCAGAACGTATTTGTCGCTTCTGCCTTAGTTGATATGTATTCAAAGTCAGGAGTGATAACGTATGCAGAAAACATGTTTTCTCAGACGAAAGAGAGAAATTCTGTGACATACACCACGATGATATTGGGGTATGGTCAACATGGAATGGGTGAGAGAGCAATCTCGCTTTTCCGTTCAATGGAAGAGTCGAGAATCAAACCCGATGCGATCACCTTTGTTGCAGTGTTATCAGCTTGCAGCTATTCCGGTCTAGTGGATGAAGGTCTCAAGATATTCGAGGAAATGAGAGAAGTTTATAACATTCAGCCTTCGAATGAGCATTATTGCTGCATTACAGACATGTTAGGGAGAGTAGGCCGGGTTAATGAAGCCTATGAGTTTGTTAAAGGACTTGGTGAAGAAGGAAATGTAGCTGAGCTATGGGGTTCAATTCTTGGGTCGTGTAGACTACACAATGAGCTTGATCTCGCTGAAACTGTTTCAGAGAAGTTAGCTAAAGTAGATAAAGGAAAGAACTTTTCAGGGTATCAGGTTTTGCTATCGAATATGTATGCTGAGGAGAAAAATTGGACGGGCGTTGATAGGTTGAGGAGAGGAATGAGAGAAAAGGGTTTGAGGAAAGAAGTTGGTCGTAGTGGGATTGAGGTTGCAGGTTATGTAAACTGTTTTGTGTCTAAAGATCAGGAGCATCCTCAGTCTGATGAGATATACGATGTAATCGACGGTTTAGCTAAAGATATGAGAGACGGCGATTCGTATCTGACGTCATTCCCAACTGTTACTCCAAGTTTTGAATTGGATGAGTGAAGGAGAATACCAGTAACTCTTTAGCTCTCACAGAGTATGGATATAAGATGCGAGGAAAAGTGAGATGTTTCAAGGCCTTAAAAGTGGGTAAGCTCGCAAAAATCTCATAACTTTGCTTTCTGAAGCTCTTTTTTATTGAGGTTGAAGCAAATCTTAATGGTCATAAACACTCTTTGTTCATCATTGTCTTCAGCAATTCTTCTACCTAATTAGCCATCTCTGGATCTGATCCCTGAGAGAACTTTACCAGACATAAAACAGCAGATGGAGGTTTTAGACCATTCTTTGCCACACATTGTACAGTTTGGTCGTTGTATCCAATATTACAAGCCGATCATGAAGAAGGCAGAGTAGAAACTGGGACAAAAAGAGTTGTAAACACCATTGTAGTTTCCTTTCTCTCATCTTCACTCTAGGCCAATTCTTTTGTAAACGGAAATATTATAATTATTAAATTTTCATAATTTAGAATAAATGATGAATGGAATTGAATTTATACACAAATTTAAGCTCATGTAGGGAAAATTTAAAGATATAAACCTAATAATTTTACTTGCTTCGTTTTCATAAATTATGAGAAACTTAAAAAGCTGATTCTAAACAACAAAACATTAATCATGTCAAAAAACAAAAAAAAAAAAATACATTGAACAAATTTATGTACATTTCTAATGAGGTGGAACTTTTTAATGAGTTTGAAATTTTTGTTTACATATATGATTACACTAAATATTACAAATACCATAATGCATGGAGTTTTGAGAATTACATGGCCATCTAGAAAAACTACAACTCAACCACTAGTCCACCTCTCCATAAACTCATAAGAAATATGTTTATATCCAATTAAATACAATTAAATACATTTATATGACTGCAAAAACTGTTAGGTGAAAGAATATTAGAGAGTTTGTTCCAATCAATCCTTTCATGTGTTTTAAAATCACCTTTTAGTCTAGTTGTGTTTCTATACTTTCTAAGAAAATAAGTTAGATTATTTAAATTTAATGAATTAATGAAACCATATCTAATGAAAAGAGACATGATTTAGTCATAAATAACATTAGAATCTATAAAAGTATGAGTAAGAGATCTTTAGATGTTTTCGATAGTAAAAGAGAAGTGCAATTTCACTTAAGCTTAATGGGACCCACAATGTGCTTAGATTCATCCCCTCTTCCCAACCCATTTCTCACTCATTTTATTTTATTTTTATCATTTCTTCAATATTATTTTATTTTTATTTCTTTTGTCCAAAAGAAACACGAATACGACATGATAAAATTATTCTCTTTCATTGATTTATGGATTTATCGTAGGAATCTGAAACCTAACGAAATTACAAAAGAAACAAAAAAAAACTACAGACATTCTATAAGACTAAGTATTTGTTATCTACCGTGAATGCGAGGCTTTGGTATATATTTATGCCAAACTCTATATTAACTTCGATCTCCGTCAAATCAAATATAGTAATAATCATAAATTAATTTTAGCGAAGGAATTGGAAAAGAAAAGAAAATAAACGATAAGAATCTAGGCATGTTGGTAGCCTACCTTCACCAAAAAGCTTCCTCCGTTTCCGAACGAAAGGCAAGTTTGATTTCGGTATGATCCAATACTCTCTTCTCCAAATTTTACTGTCAAAGATTATTCTAGTCCCGTTTCAAAAAAAAAAAAAAAAAAAGATTATTCTAGTCTTCAGGAAAATTCTCCTTCGATGTATTTCAATAATCCTAAATGTTAATGATCAAAGACAAAGAAAAAAAGGGGGTCAAATTTAAGTTGTCAAAAGGAAAAGGCTAATCACCGTTTTCCGTCTACAAGTCATATGATTAATATGTAACTATATATTGTGCCCTAAGAAAAAGAAAAAAAAGTTATAACTTATATATTATATATATTTTTTGACAAAACATATAATTTTTCTATATTTTCGCGCTGATTTGTAAAGCGACATTCACATTCTTTTCATGTTTGAATGTCTACAATCCAATAATAAGAATACAAATGCTTCATGATCCTCTATGCACGTTTTATAAAAGAAATTATGAAGTTATAACATTTTATTCATTTTCTCTATTTTATCGAGCTAATTTGGTAAAGCTACATTCACACTAATTTCACAATAATACAAATGCCTCATGGTCCTCTGTTATATGCACTTTTTAGTTATAACTTATATTCATACGTACTCTCTATTTTATCGAGCTAATTTGGAAAATATCCACACAATTTTCGTATTTGAATGTCTACAATCCAATAAGCACAGAAAATTTTGATATGTAAGCTATTTGCCTTAGTCTATGCTATATATATATATATATTTCTTTGACTAGTATTTTGGAAAAGATATAAACTTTCACATGCACTTGAGAACTTCACGTGATTTTTTTTTTATTATAAATATTATATGTGATAATTGATATACATTAGTGTTCGAGCATATTAACTGTTTAAATTTAAATTCTAATAAAAAAAAATATATAGTCCACAATCCATAATCACCATTTTTAAAATTTTGATTGACAGTTTGCAATATGGAATGCAAGTATGCAACTTCAGTTACTGAATATTTGCGGATTTAGGGCCATGATAACGCTATAATCTCTTGAGCCTAAAAAGAAAAAATATTAAATATGAAAACGAAAAAACTTAAATATACAAAAGTCAAAGTTTTCATTCTATGACAAAGAAAGTCAGTACCTAACATTTCTGCCTTTATGCGAAAAAAAAAAAAAAAATTCAAAAGAATCCAATCGTTTTCTCATTGTAGCCTCGAAGAAGACGTATTACTATTCGTTGCCTCCTTAGACGACGGAGCACCAGCACCACCATCCACCGTTCCAAACACACCGGAAACCAAAGTATTATTAGGGTTGTTCATGTTACTATACCCAACGATGGGATTCACGTTGCTCAACGAGAACATATAAGCCCTTTGAGGAGGAGGCTGCGGCGGCGCGTGAGGCTGGAAATTATATTGCCAAGGAGTTTGTTGAGAAGATCCGGCGGTTGGATCCGACGAAGTGGTGAGGCTAAAACCGGAAGTAGTATTACCGGAACCAAAAGCCATAGCGGATGGACCACCAGTGAACTGCTGAACCATGGCACGGAAATTGGATGTGTCTGTGTTGAGAAGTGTTGTTGGTGTTCTACGTGAAGCTCTTGATCTTCTACGTGCCGGTTTTGTTACACGACCGGTTTCAGGACTCAGACGAGAGTCTGTGGAGGTGGCTTCACCGGAGGGAGAAGCGGTTGTGACGGTGGTTGAAGTGATGGTGGAAGTTGTGAAGAAAGTTTGGTTGTTGTTGTAGAACTGAGACCATTCGTTTGGGTTAGCCATTTTTTGTTGTGTTTGTAAAAAGACTATGTTGAGATTTGTTGTAATAAGAAAGAAAGAACTAAAGAAGCTAAAAGCTTTTGTCTTCCTTTAGTTCTTATTTATCTAGGTTTAATTTTGATTCGACTTGGTCAAAAGGAAGACTATTCTAAAAAATTTCTAATCAATCGTGACCGTTGATTTAGGGAACGTTTTCATTACACGTTGATTTTGTAGCTTTGCGTTAATCTACTTTTTGTGTTTAATTGATAAATCTTTTTTTTGGTACTTAGTTTACCTATTCTGATTTAACCTCATTCGATGATATCAAAAATTCATATAAAATAATGGACCTTACGAAGTTACAGTTAGTTGAGTTGAGTTTTATCTATCAATAAACTAGTAGAATTATGTTTGCTATTGGCTACTTTCCCAACAAGTTGACGAAATTGGCCCATTTCACTATTGTGTGTATTTTTTTATTAAATAGTAAATTAAGTCCCTCACTTTACATAATCGTCACAAAGCTGACGGCATATTTTTCTGTACGTTCTTGCTAACAAAAACGTTAATATATTTCATTTCACGTTGCCTGCTTAGTGCAGTAGCCGTATTATATAGCACGAAGTAACGAGGGTCTTACGATAATGATAATGATGCGATTTGCTATATACTAAGTTCTACATGCATATATATCATTTTAAAAAAGTTATAATATAGGTATAGGTTAGACGTAATAGAATATGATACACCGACAATTTTGTTCAACCCACAACAGAATGAAAAGCCTTTAAGCTGTTTTAATCAGCGAAAACGAACGATTAGTCAAATTACAAAAAGAAATAGATATTCGTATATGATACTTAAAGACATAATCTAGAGCTATTGAGACCCTAGGCGGTACCAAGAATGCCTCAATTCATAGAATAAATAATAACTATTAAATTGTGCTTATGTCTATTCTATATTTGAGAAAAACTAATAGTAGTTAACAGTAGGCTATTAAATGAAAAAAAAAATATTTTCCAATTGATTATGATTTTGTTTGTAAATGTAGAAGAAAAAAATAAACATACATTATCTCTGGTTGAAAATAGGTAAAGAGACGAATGTAAAAATTAAAAACAATTGATTAGGCAGATCATGTATATTACCCTAATTTCTTTTTCCAATATTTATTACTATTTCTGAAAAAAAAAATCATTAACTATTTTGATTAAAATTTTATTAGGACTCTGAGACATTGAATCTAATAAAAAAATTAGATCCTTAATATTTTCTTAAAACTATGGGCCCGTAGGCCAATGTTTTATTTTAGTACATATAGGCACGAGCCTGATAACAAAATCATCAACGAGACAACGAAATAAATCAAGAAGATGTTGCTAAGATTTATATATAACCATTGGACAGTGATATATTATTAAAATTTTGATAAGAAACTCAGGATATATCCTAGTGTGTTAGATGCTTTCTACACTCTTGCATACTATTTGATTATTTTAGATGTTAAGATTATTTAAATCCACTGTGGTAGTAAACTGAGGAAAGATTAATTGCGACTAGTGTTTCAATAGTTGATATGTATTATTTACGCAATTTAATAGGGAATAAGTGGACACAAATTAATTGACGGGACAGGTGACTTTGAAATGAATGCTAAACAAGAGACGACCAAATAGGAAACTAGTGAGAATTTTCAAAGAAAACAATAATTTGATTCTAACGTCGTCATAATAGTTACTATCTCATCGTTCTGTTCTGTTAGAATTTTGCATCAATGGAATAACGTAGTTTGTTATTTTGAATTTTTTTGTCAAAAATATACATAGTAGTTTGTTTAGGGGGAGAGCACATTTTCCCTTTCCATATTTGGTATATACTAAAATTTTATCAAATTTAGGCGTTTTATGTCTATAAATGTGTTCAGTAAAAAGTAAAAGCACATTTTTGTTGTTTTCAGATAAATACTGTGTAGTAGATTATGATGTGAGATCCATTCTACAAATGTTAAAAATATAAGGTAGGGGATCAATGAACAAGCCATATACCATTTTTGTATTTGGTTTCAAGATCAGGCTTAATTCTGATACAAATTTAAGAAACTTGATCAAAAGAATTAACAAGAGTTTACAAATAGAGAATATCTCTAAACACTGTTTTTTTCCCTCTAAAATCGAGCAGTCAATGATCAAAGCTTGGTGATCATCTGAACTAACAATACAAACACGAACAATATTAACAGAAGCGAATCTCTGGGATAATAAGCGAAACAATACAACATCCTATTAAACACGTGAGCAGATAAAAACAGATCATGCTCTTGTTCTGTTCCAAACCTCAGTGTGTCAAATGAGCTTCTTTCTAGTGCTTGTTGGCGTCTGTTCTACAGAGATTTGAACCTTTCATCCAAAGCATTTTGAGATTTGCTTCGCAGTTGGGCTATAGTTTTGTCTATGAGTGTCTAGATGCGTCCTCATGCAACTGCGTAGTCCTCACATTAGGATCATCCTGTAGTGAAAATAAGTGTTTCATGAACAAGATAATCCACTTGATACAAACAGGAAAAGAAAAGGTGATAATCTGTTATTACAACAGAAAATTTACCCGGATATCATAAGGAAAATTGGGTGGCCTGAAGAAATCAACTCCCTAGAAAGAAAAAAAAGAGTAAGAATGATCATTTTTGATTGCAGTCTTGTAAGAGATTGACATTGCTCTTGAAAGCTCTGAGAATAACTGTTACCTGTCCATGGATGCCTTGCTGAGCAGCGTAGTAACTGTCGTAGCTTGGCGCTATTGAGTTCAACTGTCGCTACATAAAACCAGCCGGGGATTTTTGTTTTTTATCCAAAAATTAATGAAAGAAAAAACAGCAGAAGCTAGTTTTACAGAGAGTTGTCATGGTCGATTTTCATACCAATCCTTGAATTGTTTGCTGATTCCCATAGAAATTATCGCGAGTTGGCGCCATTAAATTCAGCTGGACCTGTAATCACACAAATCATACCAGATTACATACAGAAAATCTCAGTCTATATGAGAATAATATGAGTATTTTGTGATTAATTACCATGTTCTGCACGCTCTGCTGTGTTCCATAATAACTTTCAATGCCGACTGTCCTTGGGCTCAACTTATCCTGCAATTATAAAAGTCAGATATCAAATACTTAGGGGACTCTTAAGTTAACAAAAGCTTGCTACGACATATCAACAAAGAGAGACCATCTGTTGCAAGCTTTCTGGCGCTGCAACTGGCATAACCTCCTGCTCTGAGTTCACCTGCAATTGGTATTTCGAATCATCAGACTTCCAAACCATAAAAGGGCAAGAAAAACCTTAAGTTGAATGCAAAAAGAGATCGTAAACAAGAAGTTACTTTTCTTTTCTTAGTTGGATTCTTTTTTTTGCTTGTCTTGCCAGCAATTCTGCTCTGGTTATCCTCCTCGACGGAAATCAGACCTTGAGTTGGCGAGGTGACCACATCTGGAAGACTTCTGCCGGAAGTATTAACACTAGCACAATTTCCCAAAGCTTCTTCAATGGCAAGGAATGCAATATTGTAACTCTCTTGAGAGAACGATGCCTCTTCATTCAGCTTCAACGCTCGTTGGCACAAGTCGTTATACCGCTGCAGCCTACTCTGCAACTGCTGAGGTTCTCCTGAAAAATGCCGGCTTTTTGCATCTTTTGTCCACCGCTTCAATATGTACTGCGAGGGGATGGAAGAAAGATGACAACACTGAAGAACATTAAGCGTGTGTCTGCAGAGATAGCCTTTGTACTCAAATAACCGACAGATGCAAGAGACTTCAGCCTTTGCTTGGTTCCATGTTACAATGAAGTCCTGGTTGTTTTCAAAATCCTGAACTCTAAAAGTAGAACAAGTTGCATCTCGGTTCTCCTCTCTGGGACTACACGCAATTGCACCCAAAACTTCAATCTGGAATTTTTTGAATACAGCAGGAGTATAGACTTCAGAAACACTCTTCTCAAAAGGCGATGGAGACTTCATTGCTGGCTGCTTGTTCCACGATTCAGAATCAGCTTTGGCTTCTTCTTCACATCTATCTTGCAAAATTGTATCATATAGTTTCACAAATTCTTGTACACTAGTCTTCTTATGCAAGTACTTGTCGAAGAAGGCGTTAACACTATCAGCTCTTTGAGGTGTAGACATCCCTGCCAAAAGAACATTAGTCATGTAGGTCGGTGCCCATTTCCTGCGGTCTTCATATAACGACTGCATCCACTGATCGTCTTTGAGGCCGAATCTAGAAAGAATCTTCCACCATCTTCTAGCAAAGTCTTCCTCCTTCCATGATTTATAGATGCACTTCTCGAACTTTGATGTAAAATTTTCATGTTGCTTAGCAACTTGACCAAGATTCTCAGAAACCTTAATCAAAACATGCCAAAGAAAAAGGCAATGTTGGGTATTGGGGAAGATTCCGGGGACAATGGAGTTCAATACAACATCTTGCTCAGTGATCAAAACCTTTGGAGCTTGTCCACCCATCGCTTTCAGCCAGGTCTCCATTAACCAAGAAAATGTTGCTGCACTCTCGTCGGATATCAAAGCACACCCAAGGACCATATACTGGTAGTGCTGGTTCACTCCAACAAAAACAGCAAGTGGCATCTTGTACTTGTTTCTAACGTATGTGATATCTAGAGAAACAACATCACAAAAGCTGCCATAGTTATGCCTGCTCTTTGCATCTACCCAAAACACATTCTTCAGCCGCTGATCATCGCCAAGATCCACCGCATAAAAGAAGTTGGAATTCAAGATTTGCATCCGTGACAAGAAGTCAAGCAGGACTTTGAAATCCGCCGTCTCCACTGATAAACTCCGACCTTTCTCAAAAGAACTCTTCGAATCGCTTTTCAGGCTAATAACAGTTTTGTATTCCGCAAACTGCTTAGCCATAGCAGCATATATCTTTCTAGTCTGCTCACTCACAGCTTGTGCAGGTAAAAGCTCATGATTATGCTCCCTCACAAAGCTATGAATCACCCATTTCCCATCAGGCCTTCTCTTAACATGCATGCTAGCTTTGCAATCTGTTTTCGCACACGTTCGTCGACCAGCCATATTCTCAGGGTCTTGCTTGCTCTGCCTAGCTCGTGGCCTGTTAAAAGACTTGTCATACTCTCTTTTAGTACCATACCTAGAGCAAGCAAACTTGGCATCTATAAACTCTCTCGTCGTCTTTGACCTACGACTGTTCTGTATCGCAGTGTTGAATCCAATCGCTCGAGAATAGTCCTGGTAAAACGAATACGCCTCGCCGTGTGACGCAAACTCCATACCGTTGAAAGGTTCAGGGTTCGTACCTTCTGTGTATTCAACCAACTCCACCGTTGGAACACCCATGCCTACACTGTCATCGGTTTGTACCTCGACAGTGACGTCCTCGATTTTGCCAATGTCCATATCTTCATCAGCATCATGAAGCTTGTGCTCGTTCTGCAACACATTGTCAAGTCCTCTATCATCATCACCTTCCTTGCAGAGGTCACCTGAATGTAGTCGAAGATCTATATCCATGACAAAAGATAACTTTTTTCCTATAATTTAAGGAAGCAGACTCCCTGCAACACTGAAAAAATCTATCTTTAGGTCAAAAAGATCAGAGAATCAAGTTCGATGGATACATTTTGTTCTCACAAATGCAGAAAAGGTAGCAACTTGAAGCTAAAATTCATAGTGGTTAACGATATCATTCATCATAGCAGGTAATTACATATTCCTGAATCCGAATTTCAATTTGATTGAAACAAGAAGAGAAGCTGATCAAACACTGTAGATATATATGTGGTTCCAGTAAATGAAATTACCTGGTACGAAGAGCAGAGAGATTGGGAAAACAAGAAGAATCGAAAGAAACCAATCTATAATCTCAAGAAAGACGAAGATTCGAGGAAGAAGAAGGCAACGCACGCGCCAATCGGTGCGAGTTGGCGTTTTCGATCTGCGAAAGGAAGAGGACGATAGAGAGAAGAGGGAAGAGAGAAGAGAGAAATCTCGTGTGTGGTGTTCACGCGATCTAAGGAAGCGAGTGGGAGGTAAGGAGGCACGAATTTCCTCTTTTTTTTTGGTTTTCTAGGGTTTCTCTCTTGTCTAAACGCAGCACCGTGTTGTTGATGATATTGTTGTCTCTCTCTCTCTCTCCACTTAAGAGAGACATTTTTTTTTGTTTGGTTTTTTTTTTCTCGGTGTTCGATACTTCCCTACGGCGCACGCGTTGCGCGTGCCAACACTTGCCAGGTAAAATAGATGAAGCGTGAATTAATGGCATCATTAATAATTACTATAGTCTATTGGCTGTCCGACTAGACTTAGGCTTTTAAATGGTTGGTCCAAATTATTTTAAAAACGAACAAAATAACTAAATTAGCTTGTATTTTTCCTTTTAATTTTAAAACATCTATATATTTAGTTTGTATTTTTTTATGACTGTGTAATAAACTATTATAAATCAAACTTGAAAGCTTAAAACTTGGTATTTTCAAGTAGTTAGGGTGGTGAGAAACCTAAAACCTAAAATACTCCAATTTTTTTTAAAAAAAAATTCTAACAAGTTTTTAATTTTGTGTAAAAATTTATCTATATTATTTTCGACTGTGTCAGGAATTGGAATTTATTTAAAGATGAAAAAGATAGCTGGAAAAACAAAAAAACAAAAAATTATAGAAAATATTGTATGTTAGAATTAGTCCACGAAATTAATCCTAACTAGATTTTACCCCGTGCATTCGCACAGGAATTTTGTTTTAATCAAAATTTATATTTTCTTTATAAATATAATTTGTTAATAAGTGGTATAAAAAGAATTTGTGTTTAGATATATATTTTTTTCAGTATTATTATGACCATCATGATCATAAAAATATAATTTAAACCCGATTATTTTATTAATTTAAAAGTGACTGTTATTATAAAAATGTATTTCTAACTTGCTCATTTTATTAATACGAAAAACCATATTTATGATACAATAATTCTAATCCGCCCGTTTATATTATTTTATAATATAATTATTTACTAATTTTGAAATAATTTTCTCTTAATATCATGCATGCTTTCATAACCTAACAAAAAAACTTAACTTATCCCATCAAATTATTATATAATATTAATATTTATCTATTTTTAATATGTGAAATTTTAATCTGATATAATATAATTAAAAAATATAATAAGATATTTTTTAATCATATGTGTTATTCTAAAAATTTTATTTAAATTTCAAATATTAAATTAAATCTAACCTATATTTAAGAAAATCTATTTAAATTAATATCTATAGAATATAGATATAACCTATATTTAAGCAAATTTTTAGTTATCTAAATTAATATCTAATTTTCGGAATTAAATTTATATATATATATAAAATATTTTTAAAAAAATTTAGGAAACAATCAACTAAATGTGCTTGTGTTTTAATATAATAGATGTAATAGTTTTTTGGTCAATAATTACGACTAAAACCTGCCACAGTCAGAGTTAGAGAGAGAGACGATATTTTCTCAGTCAGTCACTTTCCTTTTCTTCCCTCTCACAGCTCCGCCTCCCACTTGATCATCTCCCGGCCGTGAAACCGTGGCGGAGACGTTGTTGACATTAGGGTTTCGACTAGTTCTCTGGTTGTTCTGTTGTTGCTATTGGAGAAGCTATGGTGAGGAAACACGGTTGGCAACTTCCCGCTCACACACTCCAAGTAATCGATTCGTAACCTTCTATAACCATTAATCGAATTCCAATCTCTTATACGATCCTGTCGACGAACCTGGTCAATCAAAAGTTGTGATTTTGATTGGCGATAGAAATGGCTCCTGATATATGTTTGTTGTCAGGTGATTGCGATTACTGTGTTTTGCTTGTTGGTGGTCGCTTATTATGCTTTCTTTGCTCCTTTCGTCGGTGGCCGCATTTGGGAATACGTCTTGATCGGTGTTTACTCTCCGGTGGTATGTTCAATGCTTCTCAAGTTGTATACTTCACAATCTAAGTTAAAGTTCGTTCTTAGCAACTTAATAAAACCATATAACCAAGAGCACAAGCATTGATTTTTAGTATCAATATGCAAATTCATCCACGAGTTTTAGGTTTTGAGCATCTGAGCGAGGAAATAGAGATGATGCTTATAAGTGTGAAGATATACATATCTTACTGCATTACTCAATGTTGATGGATTATGTGTTTGCAGGCTCTTCTTGTGTTCGTTCTGTATGTTCGCTGTACTGCAATCAACCCTGCAGATCCAAGAATCATGTCAATATTTGATACAGGCATTCACAGAGCTGACATGGCTCGTGCCTTATCAGCTAGAGATATCTCCAGGAATTTTGATGAAACTGGCAGTCAGTTGCAGTCTTCTCCTTCAATTGTCTCCAGGAGTTCTACCTTAGCACCAAACTCTAGTGTGAAAGGTTCTGTAGGAGATGCTCAAAGAGTGGACTCTGTTCGTAGAAAAACTTGCTATAATCCTCTGGCTATCTTCTGTTGCGTGTTTGTTCTTGAGGACTGCTGGAAACAGGAAGAAAGAGCTGAACAACAGGGAAACAGCGAAGAGGCTCTATTTTGCACATTGTGCAATTCTGAGGTATAGTAACAATGGTTCCAAGATATATAACATGGCTACAGTCAAGTCCCCATAGCTGTATTTGTCAAGTGTACATGTATACTCCTTAATATAAAAGTCAATTATGCATGAATTTGTCACAGGTACGCAAGTTCAGCAAGCATTGTCGAAGCTGTGATAAATGCGTTGATGGTTTCGATCACCATTGCAAGGTAAACTCTCTCATGTTTTCAAATTTTTTTATTGCAATCAGTTGCCTTTGTCTGGATATTTGACTAGATTTTCATGGGTTCAGTAGATGACATAGTTGTAATAAATGCTACAGTGGCTTAACAATTGTGTCGGTCGCAAAAACTACATGACTTTTGTGTCTCTGATGACGGCCAGCCTTCTTTGGGTATGTATTTGCCTTGTAGTATGTTCTATTTCTTAAACTTATTTATCACTTAACCATTAAAAGGTTACGCTTTCTTCCTCAGCTCATTATTGAAGCAGCAGTCGGAATCGCAGTTATAGTTCGTGTTTTTGTTAATAGGAAGAGCATGGAAACCGAAATTGTCAATAGACTTGGAAATAGTTTCTCCCGTGCACCTTTTGCGGCAGTTGTTGTAAGTATTCTTGATGTTGTGTCTTTGCTTGGAGGTGTGGTCCTGTTTCCTAATGTCATATCTGCAAATTATGTAGGGTCTTTGCACTGTTGTTACCATTCTGGCATGTTTTCCACTGGGTGAACTTCTCTTTTTCCACATGCTGCTCATTAAAAAGGTCAGTAGGAAAGAAGCTAGCTTTTATTTTACTTACTTATAACACTGAGAATTTTTCTTAGCACAAGAGATCCATGGTTGCATAGTAGTGAGGTTAAACTTGGATAATTTTTGTTAGCTGCTTTATATCTTAATGTTCAGCTGTATCTTTCATAACTATAACCATCTGAACCATTCTCCCGAACTCCTTTCCCAATTTTAAAGCTCACGGCATTTTAACTTATGTCTACAACTTTGTTTATAACTTGCTGATGGCATGTTCCAGTATAAGCAATGTGAGGTTATCTTCTGTTTAATATCGGCAGGGACTTACAACGTATGAGTATGTTGTGGCAATGAGAGCCATGAGCGAGGTGCCAGCTGATGAGGAAATTCAGAATGTGCTCTATTCTCCTACCGGGTCTGCCACAACCGGCTTTAGTGGTGGAAGCTCTCTCGGCCTACCATACAAAAAGGGTGTCTGGTGCACTCCACCTAGAGTGTTTGTTGATGATCAGGTATCTCTTCCTTTTCCTAAACATCCAACCATTCTATTTCATCGCATCTCTAATCTCTTGTAAAACTCATTAGAGTTTTGGTTTGCTATAGTTGGTTTTATACCTCATTGGAAAATCGTGTTGTCCATGGTATTAATCGCTATGTATGACCTTGAAAGGCGATGATGAAATGCGTTAATTGTTGCATACATGTACTGCCTAAACTGAGATGATGGTCCGGTATTGACTTGCCAGTTATAATTTCTATTGCAGGATGAAGTCATTCCCCATTTAGACCCTCACATGGTCCCGTCGACCGTAGATCCAGATGCAGCAGGGAGAGGCATCAAGGCTCCGAAAAGACCCGTTGTCAAACGTAATGCATGGAAGCTCGCTAAGTTGGATGCAAATGAAGCAGCAAGGGCAGCCGCCAGAGCCAGAGCATCTTCATCTGTCCTAAGACCGATAGATAATCGCCATTTACAAGATAATGAACTAAGTTCCATTGGCACAGTTAGTATCATCAGCAGTGTAAGCACAGATGCAAACGTGACTGCAAGTAAAGAGATGCAGAACAATGAACTACGGTCATCTCTTTCTAGAAACTCGTTTGCTCCAACCCAGAGTAGCCGGGATGAGTATGACACTGGAAGCCATGGCATTAGCAATTTCAGCAGTCCAAGCCATGTTCACGAGTCTATCACACTTGCTCCTCTCCCTCACAATCATACATTAACTGACCATCGCTTCGCAGCAACAACCCATCACATGCACTCGACGTTTGATGAAAAGGTGCTGCACAGAGGAAACGGCGCTGATCCGCTGTTTCTCTCCAATCCTGCAACTTCGCTTCTGCGAGACGTGAGAAAGACATCGGTTGTTTGGGATCCCGAAGCTGGGAGATACGTATCAGCTCCTGTAACGACAATGCCTGAAGGCCGCAACAGATTGCCAAATCCTAGCTCACAAATAGCCAACACTCAGAATCCAAGACCTATTCTTCCACCTCAAGATTCATCTTCTGGATCATCAGCGTTAAAGGCTCCTCTTCCTCTGCAGCAAGCCGAGAGAAGACTGACATATACTGGTGACTCTATATTCTTTGGAGGACCTCTGGTTAATATCCCGACTAGAAGTAACCCGAGAAGTGAAAGGAGCTTGGTAAGAGAGGGACATGACAGATTGGCATCGACACTTCATCGTGATGCAAGATTTAGAAGGGATTTAAACTCAAACCAGCTTCCAGTGTTTACCCCTGGAGGTCTTGGGACAAACTCGCAACCCGGTTCTAGCATCAAGTAGATAAACTAAGCGTATTTCTCGAAAGGAAATTAGGATTATTAGTTTTCTTTCAATGATTTGAGCTTCTTTGATAGGCAGTTTCTTTTCTTGCACTTAAATTAATCACTTTTGCAAAGCAACTAATTATTGATAAAGATCACTCTTTTGAAATGGGAAAATGTATACAAAACAACGAACTCTATATAATCACATTGGGAGGGCCACGAGCAGCATGGTCTGTTCTCCCAACAAAAACTGTTTCACAAATATACCCCAAACACCTTACTTAAAATTATAAGACTACTTACCGGTCCATATATATGAATCCACAGAGAATCATGGACAAAAAAGGGATGGCTAACATAAATAACGACAACAATGAAAGCAGAAAGACGCTGTTCTCTTCTTGTTCGATGAACCAAGCAGCTCTCTCGAGTTTTGAAACCCATTCTGTTCTTCCATGATTTTTGTCTTTATCATTTTTCTTTCATTTCATCAGAACCTGTGTATGTACACTTAACATGGCTATGCGAGCCTCTGTTTTATTGGATCGGAATTACGTCTTCTCTGGTTTTGGGCAGTTTTCTCCTCGACTACTTTATGAGATGTTGGTGTGAGTTTTCCCGCTCGGCTGGCTTTAGCTGACTGAGATCCTGAGGATCTTCCTGCTCAAGAATATTCACAATTTAGACTTAAAAGGACAATAAAACCAAAGACAACCGAAATGTTTCAAAGATCAAATGTATGCGTCTTAGTTGAATGTGACTTGTTCCGTGTTTAATAATGTATTCAGATTGATTTGAGGCCTGGTCAAACTCTCCCCTGACACAATAGATCAGATTTGTAGGTTTTACTAAAACTTAGTTAACCTAATTATCTAACTTGTGGTTTGAATCGTAATGACCAATGCAAAACTGATTCTCTTATCACTATCACCATGTTGGTAAGACTATTCATTCAATCATCACAGAAGGGAAAAGAAACGAGGTTTCCTACGCGTAGAGAAAGAGAGAAAGAGATCTAACCACTGTTTGGCAGAGATAATCGTTCCTTTGAAGATCTAATTGGCTCTCTTGATCTTTCTTTCGGATTGCTGTGCGATCTTGGACCAGCGCCAGGTTTTGAGTTAACTTCTACAGCAAGATCGTCTTTAGCAAGCTTTGACTTAGCCTTGGATACCACTGGAATGCTTGAAGATATTCCAGGAGAAGACGAATTACTATCCGACAGAGATGGCCCGGTTGCCTTCTGACTTGAAACACCGGATACAAGAGTTGAAGTGTTTGGCATTTTGCTTGCATTTCTCATCTGCGTTTTATGCAAATTCTCAGACTGCTCCACATTGTTTTCAACTAATGTCGTATCCTCCCTGAGGTTACTGTCAAGAAACCGGTTCTCCCATGGACGAACAGCCATCCATCTTTCCAACCAGTTCCATCCCCAGTTGTTTTTGTCAGGTTGAAAGCCACTGTGCGCAGATAACTGCCGAGTTCCCGCTTGCCACTACAAGAGAGCAATTTGTATGTAAGACAAAGAAAGATCCTTTTGCATACACAAAGAAACAACAGCACCGGAAACTGTGATCGGGGCTGAGATGAGGCCAGTAGCATAAGCAAAAAGATACACTTTCATGGGAGATTGTCATAGTGTGTTTGGTTAAAGATTGGTCCTATGGAAGAGAACCATTGACGATCAAAGAGACTATTCAGGGATGTTATGATTTGTACAATGTGAGCAGATTCAAACAATTACTTCTTAACAAAGTGAGCAAATTCAAACAGTTACTTCTTAAATAGCATAGTGGTTGTGAGTAACCTGGTGAGTCAAAGCATATGCCATAGCCCTCTCACGCTTAGCTGCAGCTTCCTGCCTCTTTACCAGCTTTGCTTGTATTTGTTCAACAGATCCAATGCTATCGCACCAACCTTCCTGAGAGATGATTTTCACATAGTCAACATTACTGTAATTCTCTCAACAAAAAGTAAAGGCCATACAAAGTTTGTATATAACTGAGACAAGTGAACAACTGAACATCACCTCTATTTCTCGAACTCGGGCTTCATCAGCTAGCTGTTGCTGAAGTGTCTGCTGACCCGTTTCACTTTCCAAGGCAAGACGAACACGTCTTGCGCGTACACGAGCCTGAACTCTTACTAACGCTTGCATGCATCGAAGCGTTACCGCTGCTTGTTTCCTCACCGCGTGTCCTCTGACAAGAGCTTGAAGTCTAACCAATCCCTTCAACGCTCGTAAAGCCCTTCTAGCCTACGAAATGTATCATCTTTACTTCAGTCCAATCAAACCCACAAAGCAAAGCATGCAGATAGATATACAAGGCAACAAGGAAAATACAATCAACTTAATAAGGCGAAACTAATACCAGAAATCCTCTATAAGCTGTTTGGATGCGTGTCGCAGCTCTATGTTCTTTCCTTTGCTCTTCATAAGCTGCACCATATGATTGTAGTGAAGTCGAAGTAGAGACACCAGTATCTATCATACTATGCGCATTGGAATCTTCAAATCCGTCTTGAAATTTTTCAGCGTCAAAATCAACTGAATTCTTTCTCCCAAACCGGCTCTTGGTGGCAATCTTTACCTTCATGAATACAAATAAGATGAAGGTTGTATACATTTTTTTAACCAACATTTGCATAATTTGATAAAGAGATACTCTTGTAATCAAAATAGCATAGAGTACTCACATTGTCATCTTTTTTTGAAGACCTTGACTTATCAGATTTCGTGAAACCAACCAATGCTTTAATCCACCTCCCCGAAGCACCCATTGTATCAGATTTCAACGATCAGCAAAGATAACAACGACCTGCAGGATTGCATTTAGCAACTGAATTATTCAAAATTCGAAACAAAAATGATAACTTTCTGTTTTGGGTTTAATTAATAAGTAATTAAAAGCACAGAGACACAGATAAGGAAACTCAATTGAGTCGCTACACTCTTTTGGATCCCAAAATGAAAGTGACGAACACTAAATCAACAACTCTTTATACCAACAAAAAAAACCAAACTTTTTCAAGAAACTCTCAAATTAAGAGAGAGGGAATTGAGAAATGAGCAGACATAAAAAGAAGCAAAATTAGAAACTTTACAGGTGGGGAAGAAAAGATCGGCCGATGAGATCTCCAGAGAGGGTGTGAGAGTGAGTGATCTTCTTCAGTCACTGATCGTCTTTCTCGCACTACTTTTACTCTCTCTCCAAAAAGTCCATTTCTCTCTTTCTCTATCTGAAGAATGAAGGATTACAGATAGATAGGACTTGGACTTAGCTAAAAATTGATTATTATCGTTTCGTTTCCCTCTCGTCAGATACGAATGAATGATTGATAGATTGCACGCCGTACGGTGCTAATTTGCGCCGCGATAACCTGAAACTTAGCAGCGTTTATTGAGTTGTAAAACGGCAAGCAGTTTTGAGCTTTATTTATTCGACGGCTTTAATGCATGCATTTACACTATATAAGTTCTAAAGAATAATATTTGGTATGAAAGACAAAAAATCTTTTTTTCTTATGTGACGTGTTGTCATATATGATATGATATGACTGATTTTGTAACGTTTGTTACTTAACGGGATCATTTTTATTTTGCTGCAGTATTCAAATTAATACACCGATAATTATACATAGCTTAGTGATTTGTGTTATATTACGATTACTGTTCAGACAGAAAAAAAGATTTTTTTTTGTCGACAACAGTAAAAAAATATTGGTCAAAAGAAGACAGTAAAAAAATCTTTTATCTTTTACCGTTTATAAGGAGGACTCTTTTTTTTTTCCTTATCATATGTGTCACCTGTCAACAAACAAGACAAATTTTTTTATGTATTTGATGTAATAATAATGTAGTGAACACTCGTAAATTGTATAAGTGTTATCCCCTACTAACTTCAATTTAATATCTAACCAAGTTTGGAAGTTTTTTTCTACTAGTTGGCCTAGTTGATGCGGTTTAATATGGTAAGAAATTTGCTAAATACTATGGCAGCCTATCAATAAAAACTAAATTATTGTAAATATACAATGACTCAATGACACGTCATTGGTCAAAATCAAATGGAACTTGAAGTGATAAATAAGATATTTTTGATTCATAAAGCCATCATGATCCTTCATCACTCTCAAAGAATCCAGGATTCTACAGATTCCTCCTTCTTTGATCATTTCTTCTCTCTGTTTCTTCGTTCTGCTTCGAGACATTCGACTTACGAGAAATGGCAGCAATCAACAGCCTCCGACGATTGGCTCGTACAACTCAGGTTCTTCTCGATACCATCGAGTTCTTCTTCTTACTCGCTTCTTCTTTCGATTATCTTATTATTTCCGGATAGATGATTCCTCGATTGCTTTTAACTGCGTCATCATCATCATCAGACCTAGAGAATTTTGTTACCTAAAATCATAACTTTTCTCTCGTCACTCGTCACCCTTCTCCTTTTTCGTTTAGTAGATCAGGATTCAGAAAAATGCTGAGATTAAAAATTTGTATTTTTTTTGTAAGAAATCAACAAATTGATACTCCAAGCTTGATGAAATAGCTCAGGTGTCTTTTTGGAATTATACTTTTTGGGGATTCTCCAGTAATTAGGGAACCCAAATGGTGATGTGATTCGTAGGTCAACCTTAGTGCTAATATGAAAGAATATATTTTTCCTATCATGGCAGGTTAATTTGCAGAGTAGATATGCTGCTTCTTCCAAATCCATGTCTGGCTCGAGGATCTTCACTACGGAAGCATCACCGGAGAAGCAAAAACCAGCTGGGTGAGTTTCGATTTGATGATTTCTGATGCTTCAGTAGAGTAATGAATAGTGGAAATGTGTTTCTTAGAACTTACATGAAATTCTGAGCAGGTCTAAAGGGCATGATATGCTTGCACCTTTTACAGCTGGGTGGCAAAGTGCTGATTTACATCCCTTGATCATAGCAAAGTCTGAGGTACATATCAAAAATGTCAACTTTATTTTACTGGTTGTTGGTTTTTTTATCGGCGTGCAATGTAAATGTTGATTCAAAGTAGTGTTATGTATGTAAGTTATGACATTTTTCTTAAATTTGTACAGGGAAGTTATGTGTATGATGACCATGGGACAAAGTATCTTGATTCTCTCGCTGGTCTATGGTGTACAGCCTTAGGTTGTTTCCTCATTTATCTTGATACACATGACTTGATGTTTCTCTTGTACAGTTTGGATTTCCTGGATAGTTGTGAATGTGTTGGCTTTACGTCCTTGACTCTGACCCTCCCCAAAATCTTGCAGGAGGAAATGAGCCACGGCTTGTTTCTGCTGCTATGGAACAGTTGAACACCTTGCCGTTTTATCACTCCTTTTGGAACCGTACTACGAAACCTTCTCTGGTACTTAGGCATTTCCTTTTGGTGCCATTATTATAAAGTTTTTTTTTTTTCTACTGTCTGCTGCTGCTTTCTGTGTGCTGTTAAGACTCAGGGCAGTATACTTAATGGGTAATCAAAGAGAATTTGATCACTGTGCTGGTTTACCTGCAAAACAGGATCTTGCTAAGGATCTTTTAGGCATGTTCACGGCTAACAAAATGGCCAAAGCATTTTTTACAAACAGTGGATCAGAGGCCAATGATACACAGGTTTGAGGTTTCCATAACTATGCGCTGTACCTTGATTTTCTAAGCTGTTTGCCTATAAGAGTTGTTTATAAATCTCCTGTATCTATCTGCAGGTCAAGCTGGTTTGGTATTACAATAACGCACTTGGAAGGCCCGAGAAGAAAAAGTTTATCGCAAGAAATAAATCGTGAGAAAGATATCTGCTTGTCATTTTGTGTTTGTCTTATTTTATAAGATCTCAAGGTGTTTATTAGTTCGGTTTTATGACTTCAGGTACCATGGTTCCACTCTAATATCAGCAAGTTTATCCGGGTAGAGTAAATATAGTTCCTCAGACATTCTTTGTAGATGTTCTAAAGATTCTTTTCGTTACTACCTAACAAATTTATCTTCTACTTCTAGTCTTCCAGCGCTGCACCAAAATTTTGATTTACCTGCACCATTTGTGTTGCACACAGATTGCCCTCACTATTGGCGTTTTCATCTTCCAGGTATTTACTATGAATGATTCTAAATTCTTTTTTTAAAGTAAAAGTAATCATTGATCTCAACCTTGGAATTGTTTGTTCAGGTGAAACGGAAGAGGACTTCTCAACCAGATTAGCCAAGAATTTAGAGGATCTTATCATCAAAGAGGGACCAGAAACTGTAAACATTCTTTTAAATACGTTTGGTCTCTATGCATTTGTGATGATGTTGGAATCTCAATCTAACAAAAATGTCTTCTTACTAGATTGGTGCTTTTATCGCTGAACCAGTCATGGGTGCTGGTGGTGTGATACCTCCTCCTGCTACCTACTTTGAAAAGGTCAATTTCGTAAACTTTGTTGGTACTAAGCATAATTATGTGGTTCAGTGGTTAGATCTTTCTGGATGTAACATTGAGCTCTTTTTCCTCTGCTGCAGGTCCAAGCTGTTGTTAAGAAATACGATATTCTGTTCATTGCTGATGAGGTATGTGCATATCTAATTAAACCTTGTTTAATATGAGTCCACACACAGGATCGTGGCCCCAAAATCGATCAAGAAGATGGGTTACCATTTATCTAATTTTATTTTGTTGGACTTTAATTAAGGTGATATGTGCATTTGGAAGGCTCGGGACAATGTTTGGCTGTGACAAATACAACATCAAGCCAGATCTTGTTTCCTTAGCTAAGGTCAGATTTTGCAAACCGAGTATTTTTTCTTTACTTCCTCTGTTGACAAATTTCACATACATGTTGTAAATGTTTTAATATGCAGGCACTTTCTTCAGCATATATGCCGATTGGAGCCATTCTTATAAGTCAAGAAGTGGCAGATGTAATTTATTCTCAAAGCAACAAGCTAGGTACCTTTTTAGTAATGTTCACCGTGGTAATATTCCAGTGTTCTGATCTTAAAATGCCAGTAATTTTTGTTTTTGTTTTTTTTTTATGTCAGGTGCTTTCTCGCATGGATTTACTTATTCTGGTCATCCAGTTTCATGTGCTGTAGCAATTGAAGCGTTAAAGATATACAAGTAAGTTTGTCACTTTTGCTCGTTCATGCAAGTAAGCCGGTTTTGAAATTGTAATTTGCCAAAAACTCAAAACCTGTCTCACACACATGTGATAAAGTTACTCGATTCTTATCTGCACTTATTTTCTTCATATTACAGGGAAAGGAACATACCAGAGCATGTCGCCAAAGTTGCCCCAAGATTTCAAGATGGTCTTAAAGCTTTCTCCAAGAGTAGTCCTATTATTGGAGAGGTATAATTTCTTTTAGTCATTAGCTTTTCTTTTGAAGTATTTGATTAAACATTGGGGCATTTTGTGATCATATTCAGATAAGAGGAACGGGTTTGATTCTCGGGACAGAGTTTACAGACAACAAATCACCAAACGAACCATTTCCACCTGAATGGGGTGAAGTCTCTCTCATGACCAAAACCAAAAAATGTTTCTCCTCTCCTAAACTCACTACTTTACTAAATCCCTACCATTTGCAATCAATGTTTGCAGGTGTTGGCGCATACTTTGGAGCAGAGTGCCAGAAGCGCGGGATGTTAGTCCGTGTTGCAGGTGATAGCATAATGATGTCTCCACCGCTCATTATCTCACCTGAAGAGATCGATGAGGTAAAGTGCCAATCTTGAGTCATTTTTAAGGCTTTTTGTCTGCTAAATCTTGTGACCAAATTCCCTGAGACTCACCCTTTTCTTCTTCCTTCTTTGGGATTTTATCATTTTTTTCAGTTGATCGATATCTACGGGAAAGCGTTGAAGGCAACGGAAGAGAGGGTAAAGGAACTCAAGACTCAGCAAAAGAAGTGAGAAACAGAGAGTTATGATGAGTGGTTTAGATTAATCCCATCTCTCTCCTTGAATTGTTTGCCATTTGCTTTGCACAATTTACAGTTTCAGTGATATGCATAATAAAGATGTCAATTTTAACTCCATTTCTCTCGAGCTCCTCACCAAATGACAGCTATGGAAAATGGTCTTAAGTCTTAACTGTAAATGAGGGACTAAATAGTGGAAAGGATCTTTTGTATCATCAAAAGTTTGAATCTTTTTTGTCTTTTTTCTACACAAGTCTTAACAAATGCGTCATTCTATGAGGAATAAACAACTGACGATGTTACCAAAATCATCTTACCAAACCAACTAAACATACAAAAATGCTAATTACGTATTTATTGTTAGAGAGATA